CATTGGTAATGGCATATAAAAAAACGAGCACCTATCAAAATACGAGGGTGTAAATGAATCGTGAGATGGCATCAAGATAAGTATTAAGGTGTTTTGTGTTCATTTTTTTTTATTTATATAACTTTATTGACTAAAAGAAAATATGGTACAAAAGGCAAATTTAATGCTGGTAGCATTCTCTACCAGTTAATCTTTGGGATGATCAGTGAATCACGAATGAAGTATTTTATTATTGGAATAGGAAAAGATAATAACAGTTTATAATGTATACCTGTACACAATAAACAATATTTACATATATAAAATGATGTCTATATATAGTCTGTAGTATATATATATATATATATAGATAGATAGATAAAAATATAAATAATATATAAATGAATAAATAAAATATATAAGATGATGACTAGCTACTGTTGTTGTAATGACTTCATAACGTAAGCATGGACTTTTTTAACATGAATTTACTTAGAAATGTAACTTGGATGCTCCAGGATACCATCACGCAGTGCTTTCCAGGGTTGTAAAGCTTAGATAGTGAAGGAGTCTAACATAGTAATGGGCATTACTTTATTAAATTAACGATTTCAAACAGTTTTTTTCATAATGGACTAATCAGTCAAGCTGTAGAGATGAAAGCTCAGTCATATAATGTATTAGACATATACATTAAGGGGATACCAAGATCGAATCTCAGACTAAACATCTACATTTTCGATTAATGTTTAAATTATTTAAAAGTAAAAAGAATTCATCTTGAAACTTCTTTATTTCCTAATCGTTACAGTATGAAATAAATATTATAATAAACTCTCTACAACATAAAGCATTGAATTCTCGATTTTTGTATTATTAAAACAAAAACAGCTTATAGTTTCGGTTCAAAAGACGAGGCTCGATCGGACACCAGTTGTCGGTAAGCTGAGTAACTTTACTCGTGAACGAGCTCTGTTGACGCGATGCAAACCCGACGAGTTCCCTATATGGTCGACAGGTGACGTTTATGTGTCGTTGTTATGAAAGCGGTGCCAATTTTGTAGCATGTTTTTTTTTATTTTGTCCCGTTGAGGTAAACGAAAGCAAATCTTGTATAGCCATTTCATTTTGAACGTAGTGTGGAACGATATTATTTTTCTTTGAATATCAATATACAAATATTTAGTTTACCTTCAGCTTTATATTGCGAAATGTATGACATCACAAAAGAAACGTTACAATAATATTGAGTGTTGTTCATTTTTCATTTTACAAATTTCTCCATTTTATTGGAATACAACCTTTCAAGGCGTAACGCCATTATGTAAAATCAAATATAACTTTATGCAAAATTCATCTATGGATTTAAAAATATATCCCTTATTTATAGACACATCAAATATCTCAGACACCTCCATCAATTTATGCAAATATTTTTCCTCTTTTTTCTTTCTAAGCAATTTTTTTATTCTAATAAGTGGCATACAATACTATTAATAAATATGGGTTTATTGAAGGCTTTATATTTTGATACTTATCTCTGCTAATTTAAACAATAAAAATATTTTGTAAAGTACATTTGTGATAATCACTTATCAAATAGCCGCTCATTTAGAAATCAACAACCATTATATATTGTGTTTATATAAGATTTGCGTCATCTATGGTGAACGAATACCTTTCTTTCCCGTAGGTGTCGTAAGAGGCGACTAAGGGAACTAAACCGCCTGTCAAGCGTAGCAACTACCCGTAGCAAAACTCCCCTTATGGGGAAGGCCTTTATTTTGCAGTGGACAATTAACAGCTGTTAAAAATGGCTAATAAAAATGGCGAAAGAAGTAAAAGAATCAAAACTGTACAGGTATTTTTTTTAACGTTTTTAATTGTATTAAGATCGTCTTCAAAGAGTCTAATTAATGAAGGAAAGGAATGTAGTAAGGAATCCTTAGAGAGTAAATCGAAATCAATTGATAACGTTGGAGTGGTATACGTTCCCCGTGGAGTCATATGTTTTCATTTGCTTGTCGTATCTGGAAACAGAGTGTAGTGTCATAGTTAAGTTCTTATCTCCTATGTATTAAGGTTGATTTTTGAATAAAAAAAATACAAGTGATACTCGTAATAGTGAATTACATAATAGAAATGGGATATTAATTTTAAGTTTATAGTATATCAGTGACCTCAATGTATTAAAGGTCAGATGCATATACTGAAGTATCGTTACATATGGTGGGTTACAAAAACTAATGGCGTTATTAACCATAGCACTTATAGCATATATTATGGTTGTGACATAAAGTATTTAAATGTTTACGAAGAGAATTCTTAAAGAATACCATGGCGGGCGCAAGCTGAGCACGATCTAGAGACATTCTGTTGCGATATGTAATTACAGGTTATTGAGAGGGGGGGGGGGGGGGGTGAGGTCAATTTGAGATACTGTGAGTTTTAAATAACATTATCTTACATTTGACTATATTCTATGATTATTAATATATAGTAATAAAGTATATAACTTTATTTATCATTTCGGTTGTTAATTGTTCATTGCTTCACATAGAGTAGTATAGACCTTGATTCCAGATTTTATCACTGAGCTTAATTCCAAGCATAGACTATATCATCTTATCTCTATCATCATCTCAGCCAATATCCATCCACTGCTGAACATAGACCTCTCATATAGACTGCTAAAAAAACGATTCTGAGCTACCTGCATTCATTGACTCCCTGCAATGTATTTGAGGTTGTCGCTCCATATAGTGTGGGGTCATCCTATACTGTGTTTGCCTATATAATCATCACTCAAGTATCTTTTTCGGACTTAAGTTTTTCAGACTTATCTCTAAACATTTCTGAAAATATCATAGTTTATTTATAATTCATGAGCAGTGTAAATATAATGTTTCGATTCTGTAAAGAATCTGTTAAAGACTTTTGTTTTCAAACTTCAATCTAAGTGTATGCATAAAAAAAGAACTTAATGACAACGTAAACGTATGGTCGATACTGCTGAGTTTAAATGAAATTTTATACAGAACTTTCTTACTTTACAAGGTAAGTGAATTAACACCCACGCTGTATAATAAAAGAATTCCCGAAATTCTCACGGGAAATGGAGATAACGGGCTCCACGCGTGCAAAGCCGCGAGAAACCCCTGCATTTTATAAAAGTGAAACTTTGTAAAGATATTTCGATGTTTGTTACTCAATCTTCATTTTTATTTAAAGTTATGACAGATTTGAATGAATTTGGTGCATGTAGGTGGAGCGCATACGAAATGAACACAATAAATATTTACCTTAATGCAAGTAAATAAAGCCCAAGATACATATGATATTATGATGTTTTAAAAAAATTAGGTTTTCCAAAATTCGACCAAAATGAAAGCACGTGCAATATTTTTACTTTTATTCATCGAAGTTTTGTAAGTACACAATATATAATAATTGTAGGAATAACCGGGCAGGCTTACGCTCACATTATGACCGTTCATCAAGATTAAGGGTCCCGGATGGGTATAAAACTAATCGAGAGTTCGATTGAAATGAATAATCGTTAATCCGGTTATTAAATTAATTGTTACTTGGAATTGAAAAAGAAAAAAAAAATAGGAACGTTAGTGATAGTCTAGATCAGTGTTTATCAACTTTTTTCATGACACGACCTATGACCTATACATTATGACCGTTCATCAAGATTAAGGGTCCCGGATGGGTATAAAACTAATCGAGAGTTCGATTGAAATGAATAATCGTTAATCCGGTTATTAAATTAATCGTTACTTGGAATTGAAAAAGAAAAAAAAATAGGAACGTTAGTGATAGTCTAGATCAGTGTTTATCAACTTTTTTCATGACACGACCTAGTATGAAAAAATATTTGGCGACCCCCGACTTATTTTTTTTGTTAATTTGTATTAATATACAAATGTTTTAATTATCATTATTCTTAATAAATCTATCTTTATGAGTATAACTTTGTTTTTTTTTTTACTAAAGTAGTTTTCACCACCACACACACTTTGAAAAGCATTTGTCTATATAACTAGCTGTTTTCTATTACATTCATATTGTCAATAAAAGGCGCTTGTTTAGTTTATCGTAACACGATATTATCATCACTAAATTATAAAGAAGTGATATGTATGCAAATGAATTTTCCAAACGTCATATGAAGTATATACCCACGGAAAAAATTCATCATCATACAAATGCTTTAATTTTGTTTTACTTAAATTTTGTTATCACGACAATTTGTCGTATTCCATCGTACTACAGTTAATTATAGAAACTTCTCATTTACAAGTCTAATTAAATAATATACAACATTCATTTTTTGTCGCAAACATTCATCTAAACTATATCTGTTTTATAAAGTGTGCCGTGTTATCCCGGCATAGAATAGGCTATCCCTACTATTCCTGTGGGTGTTGTAAGAGCCGAATAAGGGAGGGCGAAGGACGGGCAGCAGTGTTTCTCTTAAAATATCTCTAAAGCCTAATTGCGGTCGCCAATCCACCTGCCAAGCTTGGTAACTACTGGCAAAACCCTTCAAGGGGAGGTTTACGTTCAGCAGTGGACAGTTAAAGGCTGATATTATGATGATGATGATATCTGTCTTACTACATAAAAGTTAAACTTGTGATTTATAGTCTTTCAATGCACGTTTAGACTGTCTAATATTTGTTTACGTCGAAACAAATTAAATTCTATCTTATCAAAAATAAAAAGTATTTAAAATAATACATTTTATTGCAATATTTTATATATTTTTGCACATAATCTTATGAATACATATTATTAGGTCAAATCAACAATATTCATTCTTTTAGGGGTTTATTAAACTGTTATACAGACAGTGTTATCAATTACTTTTGTCGTGAGTGAAATAGGAAAACTGCAATAGGAAAAGGAGGGCTGTTATTACTGCCGATAACTACAGGACATTTCAGGGAGTAGTTTGCGAAAATCAACGCATTATCCCATCAGTGTTCCGATTTACGAGCGAGAACTGAGCATCGGACTACATCCCAGTCGGTATCTGAATGCGGCGCCGGTCGCACGCTACGACGTAGCACTATACGGTTACGAAGTGACGTTTGAATTTAGAACTGAGTTTGTAGTTGTTCCATTTGTAAGATACCATTCGTGACATGAGTTTTCTTGGTAAAGTAAGTATTTATATAGAACGTACGCTTTTAATTCAGAAAAATTAAATTAATTAGAAACATAAAAAAATCCAAAATCTAATAATTTTTCAAATTATGCCTATGATTTTAGTAAATTAAATATTATATGATTTAAAGACGTGAATAGCATTAAAATAAATTATTACTAATTTTATCTTACTTTAAAATAAAAATAAAATTTATTGTAGAACGTAATATATTCTACTATATGTGACTATGTTTCTTAGAGTGATTTCATTATAAAAAACTTATTTATACTTGCATTAAATTTAGTCGTATTATAAATAATACATTATGATCACACGTTAATGACTTTCTATCCACGTGGTTAATTAAAAGTTTGCTAAAGTTTATCAGTATCTATCGGGACTTGACGCGATGAGAAATTTTTTGCAGGTAAATATTATCCATATACTTGCTTCTTTATTGCCGAGAATTCGACACGAAAGTAGCAGGTATGTAGGTACTATTTACTTGCAACAATTTCTCATCGCCTTAAGTTCTGATAGTGTATTTAAAATATGCATTAACAAAGTATAAGTTTAAAATTAACTACTTTCATTACTTCTTTGAAAACAACATTTTGCTTTTTTCTATCGTGATACAGTAACTAGTGCGATGATAATTTTTATTTATTTATTTATTCTATATGAACTATATTTTGTAAATTATATAATAATACGAACTTAATGTTATCATACGTGCTTACTGCTGGAACACCGAAAAGTGACACCAGAAGTATATCTGACACAAAAAGCGATACCTTATTTTTCGGGACCGGCAACGTGCGAAAGGTATTATTGGCGTCACAGTATATTTTGTGACGCGTATGTCTAAGAGCGATAGTTATCATTTTCAATTAGGTAAGTTCCTGTGTTGACGAAGTAAGAATAAAATGTGTCGCCACTTCTTCCATCCACATTTCTTATTTTATCTTTGTATTTTTATACACAAAAGTACTAGCTAAGAAAAACTTGAAATAAAATTCTATACCGAGCTACCTAGCCAATAACGTAAAAGTAGGAGAAAATCTTCTTTTAAAAGTAAAATTGGTACTCAATAGTAACTAAGCATCCATTGGCGTTCAGTAGAATGCTAATAGATTATATGTTTATTTTTATAGTATCGTAAAAAATCAACAAGTTTCTCACTATAGTGGAATTTCAAATAAGATTCTTTTCCCTACTTATTTTCAAACACCACAGTTTAAAAGATAACCTATATAGCTACAATATAGACGCTATTTCTGTCCTCTAAAACATTCACAGACTGTTATCTCTGCTGAATCATTAAAATACGGAATTCTCTTCCTTCCTACGTTTTTCCCCATTCCTATAATCTTGAGGCATTTAAGCGGGGCGTCAAAAGACATAGGCGCCAGCGCAGTACTGAACTGTGTTGAAAATCTTGAGATATTCGAACCACACTGGCCTCTTTCTTTATTTTTATACCACAAAAGGACAAACATGCTAACAACTCAGTCTATTATTAATTGATTATTGCAGCATATGAATATTTGCTACACTTGGGGAGTCAAGTGTGCAAGGTTTTGTCAGTAGTTCAAGGTAGGCAGTTAGAAACTTGAAGAAACTTCAATGTACAAATGAGGAAGAATTGCATACTGCACTCTCTAGACGAAACCTTGGTAGGATTTCTTGAGAGAGAGAGAGAAGGTGAAATACAGGAGAAAACGCTCCTGAACTCTGAGTTCACTAGTTTTAAGATATTGAGTTGGTGTGGTCACTTTGTCCAGCTAATACAAAAAAAAAGAAATAAATTATTAAATAAATATTTTTATGTTGTTGTAAGTAAATCTATTGAAATGGTGCTTAAGAATAATTTAGCGCGTGATACTGCTTTTCCTTTAGTAATTTGTCACAAAAGTTTGTTACACTTTGGTTCACTTAGTCACTTTTAGGGTTCCGTACAACTACATGATTGAACCAACAATGTGTGTATAATTTTTTATCTATTGAAAAAGTTAACGCATAAAATTTCACGCATTATTGCTACGCGTTACAGTAATCTAAAGCCGTAGATAGTAAAGAACGATTAAAAGAGATTTATTTAAATGGGCACCCATACGACCAAAAAGGGGAGATAGGAGTTTCCTTAACTTGATACTTATTTTTTAAACAGCGTTTGAAGCAAACTAAATGTAATATTACTATTTTAAATATTAAAAAAAAAAATTATGGCCTCATCAGTGTTAAGTCACAGTAAAATTTCATTGTTGACTATAAAAATTGATAGAAAAAAATAAAACATTTTAAGGGCTAAAGATATTTTAAAGAAAATACAAAGAGCTTTTGTTTAAGACAATTTTTCTTCAAGATTGTGTCTATTTTTTATTATGAATTAAATTCACTGTAATGTATTTTTAATAAAATAATTAGGATTATTTTAAAAATAAAAAAAAAGTTTTTAAGAAATTGCTACGGGATCAATGAAACTTTTTGATTAAAAAATACTTATTCATCAGATTTATCATGAAATCGGTTCTCAAATGACGAAGATATTTTGAAATATAGGTAGCTAGATGCAATAAAAATAAATGAAATTATACTAATTATCTCCTCCATTTTTAAGTAGGTTAAAAAAAAGAAAATTCTGCAGTTTACCAACAAAATACTAAAAGTTAAAACAGGAAATGAAAACATACAAAAAATAACACACGTGAAAAATATTATTTATTTAAGAGGACCTTTTTATATTTAACCTGCAATGGGACGGAACCCTTTCGAGCTAGTCCTATTTTCGCTTGTAAATATTTTTTACAATGTATGAAAATACAAATTACTTATTCTTTTCAAGTTGGAGACAGTCCGAACAGAAGGGAACAGTAAGAAACTTATCTCGTTAGTGGCTCAGTCATAACACGGCAAACTCAGATCAGAAATTCTTCTTAGACAATGTATATAACGAGGCAAATTATTAAAAGTACTCTTAGTATCTGTGAAGTGAGTCTTTAAGCGCTCGGTCTGACTTATTACCACCCTGATAGCTTTAAAAATCTTTAGAGTTTAAAATTCCGACAGTGTCGTCGGCCGTTGTGACATTTATTCCTGCTAGATCCTTTTAATAATCTTACTTCTATTATGAATGCGAAAGTTTGAGAATGTATATAAGGATGGATATTTGTGACTCTTTCACGCATAAACATTTAAATGAAATTTTAGTATTCGGTTAAGTTATATCCTAATTTAAAACGGTATCATATAATTCTATATATATATATATATGTAGTGATTTAGATAGATTTTAGGTAAGCCCTATTTTCTTGTAATCCCATCGCGCTAAGTCTTGATCGTGAATTTAAATATTCGTAAACAAAGCGAAGTGCGAAGATTAAAATTTTACTAACAAGATTTTGATCCACAAAATACAATTTAAATCTTTATAAACTTAGTACAAGATCAACGCGGGAATAAATCTCTTTTAAAAAAATAGTAAAGTAATTAGCATACCAAAAAGTGTAATTAACTACTTACAATGTAGGGCTCCATTGGTTTAATGTTTCCATAGTTTCAACTACAAGTAACAGGCATTAAATACTAAAAGCATTTTGCAATGTCAAAATGTCTAGTGTAATATTATTGTTAACTAAAATATTTACTAAACTCTAAAACAAACTGGAAACTGTCGTACTAAAATTGTGAACGCGAAAGGAAAGTTATAGTTGTCGTTGACTATTCAATTATTTAAATGTTATAATTGATATGGAGCTATATTTAGCCCGCAGCAATTGAATATTTATTTTTTGTTGAAACTAGTAAAGCAAAAATGAAATATTAAAATTTCTAAGTTTTACTTATTTGGTTAGTAACCATGAAATTGAAAGATTTATTTATTCTTTCATAAACTTGTAGAGAGATTATAAAGAAAACCAAATATAAATTAGGTAAAAAAAAGTAATTTTTATTTTTCTTTAAAGAAATTTGAATTTATATATTTCAATATAAGTATATTTTTATGTAATATATCTGACAATAAATAAACACCCTATCTCAAGAGCATTAGCAATAATAGAAGAGTAATAATTTTATAATTAAACTTAATAAAATGATATTATCGTCATTATATGCCGTGATACGTTCTATTATTCTCTCAAAAAAGAAATAATATGTTACTTAAAAGCGTAATACATAAATATACATACATACATATATATCTGTCACGCCTGTCTCCCATTAGGGTAGGCAGAAACAATGGAACGCCAAATGCTTCGATTCAAACAAATCTCTTTCGTTTCTTCCGCATAAATATATAATGTACATGTAAACAAAAATAATAATAATATTTAATATAATAACAGGAAATTAATGTAAAAAACATTTTATCAAAGTCCTCATCCTTCATTGCTTTATGAAAGGCGCAAAATTTTTACGCCTTGTTTCGTGATCCAATCCTGTATATTTTTCATATTTTTGGCAAACACTTATCTTTAGTTTTCCAAATCACCGCACACAATAACTTAAATTACATATCTTCTGATTTGATATTTTGTAAGTACGAAAATAGAAAAGTAGTGCTACAAGTACCTTGTGGTTTTTTATGGAATTAAGAATGGTAAACAAGCTGACGTGAACTGTATTATTAAAAAGTAGTAACAGTAAAAGTAGGTATCAATGACATAATATCTCTCATGCAATGTCATTCCTGAGGACTAAGATATTATGCCTCTGTACCCTGTAATTTCATTGTACAGAAACTAGTATACTACTCGGATTATAAATTTACCTACCGAGAAACTGATTCCAACTACAGATTCATTAAAGTTACTCTAACGATTTGAATAGGACAATGTTAGTAGAGTTCTCCATTTCCTAATTGGATATGTAATGATTTAATACTATTAAACAAGCAATATATTTCGTTATGTTTAGAAGTAAACGTAATCACTTCAAGAGGCTCTCTATGTGATCTATTATAATACATACAGGCAGAATATTGACCGAGGAATTTTCTCTTTTTTTTACTCT